ACTTCTACGGCTGAATGGTTGAATATTGAAACATCAAAAGTAGAATTTTCGTTGTATTCAAAGATGATAACATAACCACTTATAGTAGTCAAAGAATTGTGGCCATCCAACAACAAGATATATGTTATCATCAACTCTTTTCAATTGTGTGTTACAAATAATTCCATCGTAGCCAATTAAACATATTGTATCACTAAGTTCATGTCCTAGCGACATACAAAACATCTAGGAAGCGACTATATAAAAAAAAAAAATGTCTCATAAACAAATATTATTTACTTTATATATAGTTTTATTAATTATGAATAAATGTTAACAAAGAGATTATTTTAAAACTCACCAAACGAACATTATGGCTTAATGAAGGTGTGATAACTTGAAAGAAACGATGTGGTGGATCACTTCTGTTCAACATAATATTTATACTACGGAGACAACATATAAGTATATACACTAAACTTTTAGTTGCAATAGAAACTCAATTAATCTCTACAAGAATTATTGTCCAAAAATCTATTATCAAATTTTCAAGTTATGTAGTCTCAAGTAATCAAATTCACATAGATTCATGGATATGGATGACCTACAATTACCCCTTCAAACAAGGAAATCCATGTTAGATACAATCTAAAAAATGAAGTTTTATTTATATTTAAAAACATAAATAAATGAGAATGACAGCATCAGTTAAATAAAAAGGGATAGGATTTAAATACATACCTATTAATATAGAGGATGTTAAGTAGTATGATCACCAGTAACCGCATAAAAGGTACGAAGCATAAAGTTCGGGACTAATATTGGTGCTTGTTCATTGAGAAAAAAAAAAAAAAAAAAAATACGTGATTGATAAAAGAAAAGATTTCGACTGCAAGATTTTATAACAATGCTCGAATTTATATTTTTTCTATTCACTTTTTGCATTGAAAGATTACCAAACATACTTTAAAATTGTCAAAGTTAATATTAACACTTCTATTTTAACCAACAATGTAATACAAGTCTATAACTAATGATGTTTCCATACTTTCACAAGAATCTTGTAGCTAATGCATAAAATTGTAAAAATCACTATAATCTGTCTTTAATTGAAGTCTAAGTTGATGCGAGAAAAATGAACAATTATTTGTAACAAAACATTCAATTCATTTAATAAAATTGTCATCGATGTAATTGAAATTGACGATAAGAAATAAAAGAGCAAGAAAAAAAAACAATTTAAACAAATAACTTATCACGACTCCAATTCACGGGATTGTTTGATATTTTACACAACCTTCTAATCTTCTCAACTCCTACAAAAAATCCAAACCATACACAATTATGATAATGCTATCTTCAAAACACTATTAGAAAAAGTAATGTCTTCGACGGTAGTTGGATGGAAATTTTACGAACTTAACAAGACCAATTAATAAATAAATTCTCAGAACGTAAATACACACATAATCTTTGGATGCAAATAGCGTCAGAAGTTCCAAATTGGCCACATCTTGAAAGCTCAATAGAAGCATAAAATAAAATACATATAACTACCATTAAACTCCATTGATATAGCCATAAAAAATCAATATCATCCCCCTAGTATGCCAAGTCCTTATTCCTTCATCTCTGAATACAATACTTTGACTTAGCAAACTGGAAAAATTGTAATAACTTAACATAGAGAAATAGCTAACACAACATATTGCAACAGTTTGAGGTCTACAAATCACCAAAGAAACATGTTAAAAACATTTCATGTAGCTGTCTTCAAATTTATTGCGAACAAAACTTAATTTGTTGTTCGTTTAAAGGAAAATAGCTCTTATACTTTTATAACTAAGAAACTGCAATCTTCCAAGGAACTTAATGAGAGCACCTTTTAGTTCAAGCAAATTATAAATCCAAAATTCAGCAAAGCCATATACAAGTATCTTAGCCACGTTCACACGAAATTCAGTAACAAAAAGTGGATCTAACAACCATCATTCTCATATCCTAAATCCCGAATTATCCACTAACAAAATATAAAGCTTTTAGATACAAGAGATAGCTTCTTTGACTTGACTTTTTTCATAATATCATCTTTTCTGCAAATCCTTAATAACCCTTCTGAATAAAAAAAAGTAACAACATAAAACTAAGCTAACAAAATCAATACAAACTGAAATTGATAAATCATTTGAAGAAATCAACGAAACAGAATAGAACAATAACCCAAAATCTAGAGGAAAAAATGAAGAATATGAATGCTATGTACTGAAGCGGAAAAAAGATGAAATACATACATTTTGATGTAAAAGAAGTGAAATTATTCCTTCACACAACGAATCCTAAAAATAAAGAAGCAAAAACTGAAGTTTCAGTTGGATTTTCAGAAAAAGGTGAAAAGGCTAAATTGTAACCAAGAAACACGTTTTGACATGCGCGAACACACAATAAACACAATGGAGAAATTAATTTCACTTTAGAAGCATAAATAACAAAATACTCACCAACTAAAATCACTTCGATATTCAAGAAATGAGAAAATTAAAACGTACGCTTGTAAAAAAAGGATCTAAACTTCTACACAAAGGAACAAAAATGACTAAGTGAGAGAGTATTTAGGGTTTATTAGAGACAAAAATCGGCTTTAAGCACAGCTTATGGAGTCATTCTTCTGAGAAAGAAGATGAACAAAGAGAAGAAGAAAGGAAATATATGAAGAGCCATGCTAGGGAGCCCGGGTTTACACCCATGCTTTGGTGACCGACGCCATGTGGCATCATCTCATTGGAGGGGGGCCTGTTCAAATAGGCGCCCCTCCAATGAACCGACGCCACATGGCGTCGGTCACCAAAGCCTGGGTGCAAATCCGGGCTATCTATCTTTTCTCATATATGAATGGTGGTCTGGGAAAATAGTGGAGTAAAGATATGGGTGATTCTGACAAAAGAATGGACGTGATTGTTGCGTGTGAAGTGTCGATCCTCAGAGAGATGGGTGTTGCGTGCAGAAGGATATATATTTTTTTTTCTATAAGAAATCAAAACGACACAATTTCCTCTTTTATATTATTATTATTGTATGACATAAATACATATATATGACATCATCGTGAGCCAAGGATGATGATTTATGAATAGTAACCAACTTTCCTTTTTTATATATTGTAGGGAAATATTAGTTTTTTTTAACTAGAATAAAATTTTAGAAAAATAGTAAAAATTAATACTATAGTCAAATTTGAGAGTAGTTGGCTAGATGTAGCACCATATTCCTTGGCTCAAGTTTATAAAGAGCAATGTTATGTAGCACAACGGGTATTACAATACCAATTTAGGTGATACTAGAGATGTACAATTAAATGAATCACACAATTTCATATTTAGCCCGTGTTTGATACTGATTAAAATCTAGATTTTAATTTAAGTCAAAGTCAACAATTAATTTTGAATAAATATTTTATGGATCCAACATCTTTTCAACCACACATTTCATCAATTTATTTCAAAATCTACTAAAAATCTATTTTTTTAATCCCCATCGAACGATGGCTTAATTGAGACTATCACATAGTATCACCTAAACTTGTATTATAGCATAAATGGAACTGGATGGCATTATTCGTTTATAAATACTCAAGCCATTTTATATTTACACTTTTCGAGAGACATACGAATACTATTCATTTGTCACTCATTCATTTCTATTTACTTATAATTTTATCGTTCATAAACACTTTTCAAACGTTATCTTAAAAGTATTTCTTTTAAGTTCTATAGACCAGTCCAAAAAACACGTTTTCTAAACAAAGTCACACGATTTAGGAGAATGGAACTCAAACGTTAGTTTGAATTTCCTCGAGTAGTTGAGGTTTTAGTAGGAGTCATTGCAGAAAGCATTAGATGGTTAACTTGCTAATTTTGCTTCTAAATTTGGATTTGTCCGTGTGAATCTAAGTACTGCTGACCCAGTTTTTGACTGTCTAGGAGGTTCACTGTTTCATTCAAGCGATTGAGGAACATTGAAGGCTCAGAGACAAGTACACATTAGAAATTTTTTTATTTCTAGTATTTCATGCATAAATTTCGAGTCTCAGATTCAAATACTTCTTCAAAATGAAAAGACATGTTGTATGCTCGAGTAAAGCGTTGATATTAACGACTCTTTTGCTTGTGCAGCTCCAAGGGTGATGGAGAAGTGCAAGAGCCAAAACTAGGGCCACAGAGAGTAAAGAAAGAGTGGTGATTTGCGGAAATCTGAAAAGGGTTTCAACATCTAACATATGTGAAGTTTGGTAACACTATGTAATATGACGTGGATGGAAGTGCTTGCTTCCTTGCGTATAGATATGTAAAGGGGTATTTGCTTATTGCCACAGTTCATGTGAAATTGTGAATAATCAAAATGCCAGCTCTTGGTTTCCTACTGGCATATGTACTGAGAAGCTGCTGTTTTAGATTGATCTGTGTCCATGTTGGACTCACACTACTAAGGATCCCTTTGACGAAGTTGCTTTTCAACATACTTGTATAATTTTTAAAAATACTTATGTCTGACTAAAAGAAGCAGGAGCAAAAATCCTGTCAAAACTGATCCTAAATCCGATATCGAATGTTTGGTACGGTGATCAGACATGATTATAAGTTCATTGTCCTAATGAATTCCATGCGGTACAACATACCAAATATGCTTCAAGTGCAAGTTCAATACACGGTGCTCGGTAGAATTAAACAGTATAAAAAAAAAAATAGTTTCTTTTCTTTTTCTTATAATCGAACAGTATGGCCCAATAATCGCTCCAAAAATCCTCAATTTGGGCCACCTCTAACGAAAAGGAGTTGTAAACAACTGACTACTAAAAATTATATGTGATAACAACTAACAAGTGCCCTCAAATTAAATTGGGAGAATGATTAAAAATTGTTTCTAGTGAACACAGGTAAACAGCTATGAGAAGAGCGTACATGGACAAGTCCGAAAATACATGCACTGGCAACCTTAAAAACTAGATTTGCCTAAATTCAACAGGATTAGGATTCCGGTTCAGATACCTGAAGATAAACCATTTGAGTGTATCCATTGAACACAGAAGTATCGAGTGTCGATAAACCAAGCCTGCGAAATAAGCCATATCTACCATCTTCAACAACAGGACTAGGGGCACGAGCTGGATCATATCTTGTCTGGTGAGTCAGGGAAGGACCAGCCACAGGGGGTAGCTCCCAATAAACGTCAAGTACTGATTCTAAAAACCTGCTGTTCTGAAAATGATCTAAGTAGGAGATTGCCTTGTTGCTATGGTTAAAATCATCCCGCATTTGACCTCTAACGCCCCACCATGCTTCTCCTGGCCCACATAGCTCTTCTATATCAACTGCTTTCTCCCAGAATTTCTTCCTTCTATATCTTATCCGAGCTTCATCACTATCTCTGAAGCAGCTATGGCCGCCACCTGGATGGGACGCACAAATCCCACAAAGTTAAACCCAATTAAAAGCAGAAAACTATTCTAGTATCATTGGATAAAAACACATGATAAACAAATTGAATAATCAGACCGATCCATAAAATGACAACAAAGAGTAACTTTGCTCTTTATTTTCTCATTAATCATTAATACATCAATTAAATTTGCATACCACATAGGAGTTTAATCCATTCATTTCTTACAAATATGATAATATTGTTGGGGAGAGCACATAATTCCATGAGTTGAAGAAACCACAGAAAACATCCTTATCACCTTCGTGCAAATGAAAAGTCTGTAGACTTTCCAAATAATTTTGACTATGACTGTGATATGTGATCTCTAACTAAAACAATCTGATGACATTATGATCAGGGTAGATATTGTTGCATTCCAAAAAACATGAATACTCCATCAGGGCCAAAGTGTCACCACTGACACATGGTGAATGCAGAAATTCTTAACAAACAAAAACACAAATGCCAGACTGACGAGGGTTGATATAGTTGAATCCAAGAAACATAAATACTCTATAAGACCTAAGTGTCACCACTGATAAGTGTTGAATGCAGAAATGCTTTTCACAGAAACGGTAGGACGTTCTTCCGGAATATTTCTACACTTGGGGCTAATTTTAGACATCCTGAGAGTGTGGTACGGACATGTTGAGGGATACTCTCAGTGACATTTTAATATAACTATATAGTTCTTATGAAAAGCAGAGCACACAAGACAGTAACATTACACTCGAGTTCAAAGGAGATAAAAGAAAATTTATTATAAGAGAGCAAATCTATGTATAGATATTAAGCATGAAATCCTTCTTGACAGCAGACGGCTGTCATATCTTCCCATAAAGATCAGGATCTCTCTAGATTTACTCACAATCCTCTACACCTGAACTTTGCCTGACCTATTCTCCAAAGCCTCTGTTTGAGATACCAACCAAGGAAGAAAAATGAACGTCAAACAGTTATAGCACATCTTTGATGACCTCAACTATGGTTTGGCTAATGGTTATGCACTCTCTCGAATGCAATAACCGTATCACTTTTTCTCTTCAAAAAATAAATTGTTTGCTACTTCTCATGCATTCTTCTGAAACTACCAATCAATCCATAGTTTTCTTATCTTTTCTTGAATATTATTACCATATATAAATCTTAAATTTATATATTTTCTAAGTTCATTAACTGCTCCCTCGATCGCATATATATATTTAACATCTTTTTTTCCTTGCGATGTCCCAAAATTATTGTCCAATTTCAAAATTTACACTATTTCCTTTCTTAATTGCTCAGTCTTGAAAAAGAAAAACAAGTACAAACTGAAAGTTACCGAAGAAACAAACAGTATGTGGTGATTATAGGTGGAAACTAAAGCTTGAAAGTTGCAAATTGAAAACTTTACATGAACATTTTGGTTCCCAAGAAAGAGATTAAGATTGAAATGTATATACTTGTTTCATTTCATCAAAAATCGAATTTAGTAAAGAGCTTACAACCTTCCCTCTATGTGGTAATTATTCCTATAGTGTATTATTCTGATAATATTTTAATACTATGCACTTATGACCGACTCCCTAGCATTTCATGACCCTTTGGCAATAGGACATGTTTTAAAATGTCTGCTCTCGTGCTTCTTATGTTGCAATGATTACATTAACAACGAAAGGATAGAGTTCCTATGAATCAAAAATCGAATTTGTGGTAAATATGCTTACAACCTTCCCACTATGTGTTAATTACTCCTATAGTGTATTATTCTGATAATATTTTAATAATATGCACTTATGACCGACTCCCTAGCATTTCATGACCCTTTGGCAATAGGTCATGTTGGCAAAAGTCTGCTCTCATGCTTCTTATGTTGCAACTATTACTTTAACAGTGCAAGGATAGAGTACCTATGAATCCATTGTTCAACCAAATCTTTCAATAACATTAAATAAAAATGGCTACGTGAATTTGAGCCAAATGAGATAAATTTTAGAGCCAGTATCATCTGAACTAATCCACAAATGCATAGTGAAACATGCTTCATGAGGAAATAATTAGCATGTGCTGACAAGGCAAGCTGCTTCGTGAGACCCAAAGCTGGTAGCAGGTCCCTTGATTTCGATGTGCCTTCTTGGCACAAACAGAATCTCCCTCAATTCAAAATCAACCGGACCAATTTTCTCTTCTCCATATAACCAATTAACCATGGTTATAAAATAATGGTGAATTAAAAACAGGGCACATCTGTGGTCCACTACAATGAGTTATGAAATGAAAGAAAATGCACCTCTTATGTAAAATTGATCACATATTTGCCGGAAAGAATAATGGTCTCCAGTTCCAGTATCATAGTTATCCTCAAATATGAGATGCTTGAACCCAGCTTTAAGTGCTTGCTTTAATCTACACAAAAAAGTGTGAATCAAGACAAAGAACATTTGGAAATTTAGATAAGTGTATAAAGCTGAACGGTTCATGAATACTATATACATGATATCTGAATTGCATTACTGTACACATAATATTTGAATTGCATTATAACACTGCTCTAATTGGTCAATGAAGGATGATTAACTTTTAGAGAACCGAAAACTGTAATTACCGTTTGAGTTCGTTCTGATGGTCATCAAAGAAGACAAGAACCCGGCTGAGATCATTAATCCCATGTTTCTTCATCACTCTACCCCAATTCATGCTTCCAAAATCCACAAAGTCCTTTCCAGCAAAGTATGTACAGTTTCCATCAACATAAGCAGGCCCCTTCTTGAGGTACTTCTCAGGATGGCGAGGTGAAAGTGACACAATTGGTGTATTCGGCATTGCTTGCCTTAAAACCCACGTAGAATGCCCCTTGAAAGCACCACTTTCGATCATCAAGTCTGGCTTTAGCCATCGAGCAATAAACCAAAGCCCGAAGCTGTGGTCGAAACCCATCCCATACATGTTGTTCTTAATTGGCCGTGTCTCATATATTGGCACAAACTCCTCAAGACCTTTGAGCAAATCCTTGGATGTCCATTCCACAGTTTTCCCATGTTTCGATCTGCCTTTTGACAAGGATAACAATTAAAGTGGCATATAACTCACAAAAGTTCAAATTTCTAAAACAGGCATGATTAAAGTATCATTAAACACAAAATAGAAATAATTATAGCAATGGAAAAGAGTGTGTATTGGCAGCTAATTCACATCCACACCTTGACGAACCATAAACACAAAAGCCATCAGTAATACTACAACTATTAATTTAATTAAAAATTACCAAGTTACCACTTGATAAAATAACAGTTACAAAGAAGAGGAGTAAATCTACTCCAATTAACTGCTTTCTAACGAATCCAAATATGAAACACATCCATTTTTGAGTAATCCTTAATGAATTCTTTCCTATTTCATTTCAACTGTTATTGAGAACTACAACTTCAGGAAATTGGCTTGCAAACTTAAAATATATTAACAGATAACATATTATAGCTAAGATTCTGATCCACCAATCTTTTAGAAAATAATAATAATAATAATCCAATCATTGGGATTTTCTCTTATTACCTCTGACGATAGAAAACAGAAATGGAAAGCAAAATTTACTCATCCTATAGCAAGAAATTATCCATCTTAAAAGGTGAAACTTATATGTTGGTCTATATTTTTCACCTGTATTCGAGGTGGGGTTTATTGTTAATATGTCCCCCACAAGATGGTAGCATGTTTGGGCAAACCAATCATTAAATTCGCCTGCTAATTTCTTGAGCCTTAATCGGTTTGAATTGCTCATTGGAGTAGTCCAAGTGCTTATATATTGATCTATATTTTCATCTTTATTTGATTAGAGATTTATCCCACAACAAAACTAGTTAACTAGAATTTAGTTTTACTATTAATCTGTAAACCGAGTTCTGAATGAGCTGGAAGAAGTAATAAAAGAAAAGGAAAAATCTCTGAGGGACTTACACCAGGGAACGCCGAGGGATCCGAAGTCAGATTCGAGACCATCAAACCCGAAGAATCGTAACCGCGAGATGTGATCGGACGACGATGCTGAGATGCAAACCAGATCTCGGGAGCGAAATACAAGAGACGAGATAATGATGATAACAAGCCCGAAAAACAGTATGGGACAGAGGTACCCGGTTCGGGTCAAATAATTCGTGACCCGCACTGCTATAGATATGTGCTTTCGCGTCTTGGACTCGTCCCCCGTTTCCTCGTTGGCTTCATCATCGGCGGTGGTGCCACCATCGTCGGTGAACTGCGCCGGTCGCCGGGTCGACAGCGCCCTCTCTAGCATATTCTTAGTCGTCGCCATTTCACAGCACAGTGTGTTAACTGCTTGCGAAAATGCTTTTGGAGTTTGTTCACTCACCAAGGCAACTAAAGTAGAGTGCCTAATTTATTGGATATTTGTATTTTGACCCCTTTACTTATGGATGGGTTCGGATACATCCCATAAATCATATTAATATTTGTATACATCATCAGTGCCAGACGAATTTTTCAACATTGTTTCTCATGCAACGTAGAACGTGAATCAATTCTTGTTCAAGTAGCAAGCAAAGCAGATCAAACTGACATTATTTTGGGTCAAATAGATCCCAATCGACTTGTTATCGAATGCGATTCACCTTTTCATCACACAAATTGGGGTAAATTTCATTTGCAGTCGTTGACTTTAAGAAAAAACCTCGATTAAGCTACCAAACATTAGTTCGCCATAATTGGATCACTGAACTTCAATTTTATTTCAAAGTGGACCAACGAACTTTAATTTTAGTTCCAAATATACTACTCCGCCACGTTCGTTTCCAAAATTGATGAAGATTTCTTAATGGACAATCATATAGTAATGGATCTTCAATATATTCGTTGTGTGATATGTTAATTTACCACTATGTCACATCAAAGTGTTAGAATAAAAAAAAAAAAAAAACTTATATTTTCATCTATTAATATGAAGGCATTACCATAATTCTCACTGGACTATTTTTAGCTGTAGAAAGCCACATAACAAAATGACTGATCTCCGCTTAATCGGTAGGGGCTGCTTGGGTGTTCTGGGGTACCAACATTTTTTAAAGTATTGATTTTGAGAGATTTTAGTAATGATTTTTAAATCAACCTGATTTATACTTGAGAGTTTATTATTTATACGTTCTGAAAGTTTTTTAAAGCTTTTTATATGTTCTGATTAGGAGGGAAGCGGAGGATGATGAGATGTCTATGATTATAAACGGTCAAATTATTTTTTATTTACGTATTGTATGGTATTTGCAAATTTTGAATTATCACTTTTCTTCGTGATTTAGTCGGGTACCGTTCTTGCCATTTCATCTGCATCATTTGGTTCTTTGATAGACTCCGTTGGAGTGACAGCTGCCCCGTATTTCTTTCTTCGATTGTAATAGCTACTGTTATTGGGTGAATGAAATGTTGGTTTTAAAAATTTGATCTTTGCTCTTTAAGAATTTTCAGTAATATTGTCTTTCAAAATATATATCTAGTTCAATTACATTTGCATTTGCTCCTATACAAGAAATAAGAGTACAGAAATAAGTCATATGTATAAATGTCAAGATTTATATTTTCCAAAATATAGAAAAATTATGATAGAGATTCTTACTATTTCGATTCCATGAGTTCGATGTAAAAATAATGCAAAAATGAAAAAAAAAATAATTTAATAGAATCAAAGCAATTGGGCTAGGCCGATGGCAGATTGCAAGAAATTTTGTCAATTTTAAATTGGGAAAAATTCACTTTCCCTACTTTATCTTTACCCTATTTCAAAAATAACAAAACAACTTTTATATTTCAAAAATCAGAAATTTTGACATATACATACACATATATATAAATATTTACTTATACATATAAATATATAAAAAGATATATATATAAAATTAACCCACCCCCACCCCCACCACCCCACCACACCGGCGACCGCTCCGGCGACCACTCCGATTCCGACGACTGTACCGGAGACTTCACCGAATCCGACGACTATTCCGATGACAAGAATTTATTGTACGGACACAGTCAAGGTCACAAGTCACAGTCCAGGTCACAGTCAAGGTCACA